CTTGAAAGCTGCGATGGAATGTTGGGTTCTGAGTCTTATTTCTGATATGTGAGTTGTTGATCTAGTTTTTCTATCAAAATAATTATGAAAGACTGCAAAGACAGGTAGATGGTCACTTATATCAGTTATGAGAAGTTTCCATTTTATGGTCAATCTTGTTTATAAATATATTATCTATTAATGTGGCCGTATCAACTGTTATTCTACTGGGTTTCAGGATTACTGGAAAAAGACTGTTGCCACCCATAGTATTTACGAAGTCTGTTGTTTTTTTATGTATTTGGGTTTAATAAGTCGGTGTTAAAGTCGCCACATATTCGTGTTTTCTTAGCATTGGAATAACTTAGCATATCTGTCAAGGATCCAGGGCCTTAATGCATAGACCACCATGAGCAATTGACCAAGCGATAAGGTTGCCACCTTTCAAATATTTTTGCTGGTCTAGAGCTGTTTGGTCATAACTGAGAAAGACCTGGCCAGCCTTTCCCTCAAAAATTCCAAACAAACTTTTTTGAACAGTTAAGGCATGGTTTTTTTCATATGCTTGTAGCATATGTGAATCCCACATGTGGCACACTTGTTTGATGCTCTGAGTGGTGCAGGGCAAAGCCTACATTGTCACCTACTCTTTGTGTCATCCTGCTGTACTGCAACTTGCAGCTCGCCTGTGCAGCTGGCTGTGCACTTTGCTCCGGCCTCCGATGCTCTCTTCTGGAGATTTCGGGCAAAACAAAGGCCTTTGCCACTTCCAGCAGAAAAAGCCGTCTTCTTTACAAATTCTGGCGGTTCCAGTCTGGCTGTATTTGTGTGTACAGCACAAAAGCATTGAATGCTGATATGTCTATTATGTGCTGGAAAAGGTACATGGGCCATCTATGCGCCTGCCGCCGGCATGAATAAGTGGCACATGCCTGCAAAAAACAAATTTAGTACTTCATTGATTCACAGCAGTAAGGAACATTGTGGAAGAGGTTTTTTTTTTTCATGTATCTATTTCAAACGCGTTTTATTGTATCAGGAATTTGTTTTGCCAGGTTACTGCCGATATTAACAAAAACTCATTTACTTAATTAGCTATTTCTGCAGTTTTCTCAAGAATAGTATTTTTGTCTTTAATCAAGTACTCTGGATAATCTGCTTTTTTAGGGCTATTTCTGATGACATGATTTAATATTTTCCATATTTCTTGAGTGTTGCTTTTATTCTGCTCTAATAGTGCATGATAATGATCTCTCTTACTAGTTCTTATAATATTTACTAATTTGTTTTTGTAGGTCTTTTATTCCAGCATCTTTAGTTCTCAATTTTATTAACGATTTGTATAAATTGTTTTTCTTTTTACATGCGTTTTCTATGCCTTTTGTTATCCATGGCTTACTTAGGTCTTTGTAGTTTCTGGAGACTTTAGTTATTGGAAAATGTTTATCATATAAGGAGGTTATGGTTGACTGAAATGTGTCGAACGCATTATTTGGGTCTTCGTTTGAGTAGACCTCGGACAAGTTTTGTTTTTCTAAGTCGAGCTTGAAAGCTGCGATGGAGTGTTGGGTTCTTAGTCTTATTTCTGATACGTGAGCTGTTAACTTTGTTTTTCTTTCAAAATAATTATGAAAAACTGCAAAGACAGTAATGAGAAGTCCACTTTCCATTTCATGGTCAATCTTATCTATTAATGTGGCCGTATCAACTGTTATTCTACCTGGTTTCAGGATTACTGGGAAAAGACTGTTGCTATATATCGTATTTATGAAGTCTTGGTTTTTTATGTCCATTTGGGTTTAATAAGTCGATGTTAAAATCGCCACATATTTTTCGTGTTTTCTTATCGTTGGAGTAACTTAGCATATCTGTCAATTTTTTATTGAATGTGTCAAGACATGATTTTGGTGTCCTCGAGATGCAACTTATGATGACATTTGATGCATTTTTAATATGTATTTCAATAGTTAGGCATTCCATTAGATTCTCTGTTGTGTTTGTCAGGCTCTCGATTTTACTGTTTCACAGAGCATTGTCTACATATATTGCGACCCCCGCCCCTCCTTTTTTGTTTTCCCTGTTTGTTGCAAACATTTCATGTCCTTCAATTTTCATTTCACTTGTGTTAAGGAATTTATTCCTTACTGTGATTTTATTTAGCCCCGCTCTGTTGTTGGTTCTGTTCAAACACGAAAACAAAGAATGTAGAATGCTGTTGCAGGTATTTACTGCTCACTGTGATTACAATTACCTTTAGTGCCCCTCGACCCCTACCACTTTTAGGGCCCCCTCCAGGAGACATGTTTGACATCAAAAGAGTAACTGTTATCTCAAGCATCTGTGTTCCTGCCATTACGTCAAAGATCAGACCGAAGACAATAGTGCCTCACCACTCCCAACTTTTTCCAGCTACACCGGGTCAGATGACATGTACATTTCTTTGTTTCCAGGATTTGCATGGAGGCATAACTGCCCGCCTCTCATTTTCATATTGTCCCTATATATTCTCATGACTGCATTTTTTTCTACGCTTGCTGACGAGATCTGAAACTCTCACAAGCCCGAATCGATTCGTGTTGTGATAAAGTGAAGAAAAGATGACGTGGTGTTGGGTCTTCTTCCACCTTATAGAGAAATAAAAGAACCTGTGTCCAAGGAGGGCCTGAAGGAATTGGGCAGATCCCCTCCTCTACACTTGTTTTTTAATTGTCAAGCCAAGTTTCTGACATGGCAATTATTTTAAAATGACTGAATTTAGTCAACTATTCTTTTGATTTTTGTGAAGTTTTTATCGAGACTTCTACTGTTTAAGTGTATCACTGAAAGTGTATTTTCCAGTACAGTAAATATTCTCTAGTGCGGACTCGTGTTTGCGCTGTCCAATTTGTCCTGATAACAGAAATTCCTCATTTGGGAAATGAGCATGGTACATGTCCTTTATGAACCTGCAAGTATGTTGACAAAAATGCACGTGTAACAACACAATCAATAAAATACAAAAATATACTGTCCAAAAACTTTATATAACAAAAACTGCAATACAGGTGTATCCAAAAAAAAAATCACAACAGTAAAATACGTACAGTATTTTAATGTTTATT